TGTTGAGTTGGTTCCAACTCATAGCCACCTATATAGGGTTTCCGAGGAGTGGTTAGGAGTTTGAACCACCAATCATGAGGTTCAAACTAACCTTGTGGTTGAGTGCTTATCCTACAGTGCCATACGAGGACTCCAGAAGAGTTTTTATAGATGTTTATTTTGGATGTTGTTATTGTTATGTGCTACTGTTGTTATTGTTACGTTCTGCTGTTTTTAAGAGTCAGTGCTGCCTCATAGTGACACTGGACAGAGTTTCGTGGTCCAATGCTTATCCTACAGTGCCACACCAGGACGCCTACAGCCTAGGACATCCTATGGGGCAGTCCTCTTTTCTACCAAGTGCTGATGAGTTGGAGGCTACTAGATGGCACACAACACAGAGACCCTGTGGGTTGCCCAGGAGCAAGTGGCTGATGGATTTGGATCACTGACTTTGCAGATAGCATTTCAGGGCTTATCCTACAGTGCAACACCAGGATTTAGAATGTATATTGTATTTTATTTCTTGCCTTTTTGGATATAATTCTTAAGGTAATAGAATAAAATGGTAATGTAATTTTAAAACCATATTGAACCAAGAGATGATTCAACTCAACCAAGATGAGTTGAAGAAATTATAGCTTAAAGATGTGAAGATTTCTGTTGACTGTGTCATCTTAATGGGATTTGGTATATGTAGTTTATTCTTTTCTTAAATACATAAACATACTTATCTTAAGTCTTTAGCAATAATTTGGTTTTTATCATCTTCCAGTTATTTACATAATGTTTTGGATGAGAAAAATTAAGTACAAAGAGATGGCTTGTTAAAGTCAGATACTGAAGTACTGTAGAGGCAAATTGATACAATGATTAAACCATTAGCTGCTGACCAAATGGTTGGTGGTACAAACCCAGCTAGTAACTCTTGGGAAAAAAAGATCTGGCAATCTACTCTTGTAACTATTACAGACTAAAAATTCTATGGGGCAGTTCTATTCGGTCACATGGGTTTGTCACTGGACAACGGCAGTCCTGAGGAGAAGCCTTGAGGAGAAGGCTTGCACTCATTTCTCCTTGATACTTAAACAAACACACACACACACACAAAATTGAAGGAAAAATATTATACTCAAAACCCATATTCTTCACATTGTACTTTTGTGTTTCATCTGGCTCATAACAGACTTTTGAGAAGTTAAAACCACCCTGTAGTTTTGTGAAGCACATCAAATGGCTTATCTGAAATAACACACTATTAAATTCAGATCATTTTGCAACCCACTTTTCTTTGGGAGGGGGAGAAAAAGGTGGGATCACCCATTGCCATAGTTAGTTGGTTACAACTCATAGTCACCCTACAGGACAGAGTAGAATTGTCCCCATAGGATTTCCAAGGAGTCCTGGTGTGGCACTGCAGAATTGTGCACTGAACTGTGAGGTCAGTATGAACCACAAAGTCGGCGGTTCAAACCCACCGATTGCTTCTTGGAAACCCTACACAGGGTCACTATGAGTAGGAACAAACTTGATGGCATTTAACAACAACAATCTTTATGAGGAGTCCTGGTGTGGTGATGTAGGATAAGCACTGGACTGCTAACTGCAAGGTCGGTGGTTCAAACCCACCAGCTGCTCCTTGGAAATCCTATATAGGGTTGCTCTGAGCAGGGACCAATTTAATGGCACTTAACAAAAGTATAACAATCTTTATGGAATCAGACTGCACAGAATCTTTCTCTGGATTTGAACTGCCAATCTTTTGGCTTAGACCCAAACACTTAACCACAGCACCACCAATACTCCTTGGAAAGGAGGGTTGTTACTGTTTTTGGGTGTTGTTGAGTTGGTTTCAACTCATAGCTGCCCTATGTACAACATAACAAAGCACAGCCTAGCTCTGTGCCATCCTCACAGTTGTTACGTTTGATCCCATAGCTACTGTCACTGTGTCAATTCATCTTGCTGGGGGGCTTATTTTTCAATGATCCTTCATTTAATCGGACTCCTGGTGTGACACTGTAGGGTAAGCTCTGAACTGTGAACAGTTCAAACCCACCAGCTGCTCCTTGGAAATCCCATACATGGTCTCTATGAGTCAGAACTTACTCGATGGCACTTAACAACAACAACAAACCACTTTGCCAAGCATGGTGTCCTTCTCCAGGGACTGGTCCCTCCTGATAACATGTCTGATGTATGAAAGATGAAGTCTCACCATGCTGACTTTTAAGGAGCATTCTGACTGTACTTCGTCCAACACAGGTTTGTTTGTACTTCTGGCACTCCAAGAAAGGAAGCTACTTATACGTATTTCATTGCAAGACTTTAGGTTTCAGTGACAGCGCCAGCAGTGAATACGAATGTAGGAAAAGTGTTGTCCAGGGAAGGCTTCTGTAAGAGGAATCATAATGGTATTAATCTTCAATACTGTAAGTTATAGACCTCAGCTCTAGAGTTGTATCTCTTTGTATTCTGTAGTTCTAAGATATGTCTTACGTATTTACACAAAGAATGAACAGGTTTTAGGTGTACTCTACTATTGATCATTATTATTCTCTTTATTGAGTAAAATGGCTAAGAAAGAAAAGTGAAGTGATGAGATTGTGGATGATTTCTTTTCTTTTTTTGTTTTTGAATAATAAGCCTGTATGACTAGTATTATTAGTTAGCATTTTTAAGCAAATTATCGTGGTGTGGTGCTGTTGGTTAATGTGTCAGACTGCAAAGCCATTTGAACTTCAAGGTCAGCAGTTCAAGCTCACCAGCTGCTCCTTGGGAACCCTATACAGGGTCCCTATAGATTGGAATTGACTCGATGGCACTTAACAACAACAAAATAATGTAAGACTTTGTAGTGATTGTCTTTTCTTTTCAGATCACTTACTAGTACTCTGATTAAACCATATGGACTCTGATTAAACCATATGGACTGTGATTAAACCATATGGACTGTGATTAAACCATATGGACTGTAATTAAATCATATGGGATAATACCATCAATGAATGCCATTTCTAGTCAACTTAATAAATATCTAGGAATCCCAAATACCAGGAATGCACTAGTAACTAGCAGTCATTGTCTCACTGTGTAAAAATGCTGTATGCTTGTTGGTGTGTCACCTTCCCTACTGTATTTTAATTTCCTTTAGGACAGAGACAATGTCTTACTCACATTGTATCTTTTATGAATAGAACTATGGGACATTTGATGAAAACTTATTGAATAAATCTGTGCATTCAGTTCTAAAATACTGATATACATTCTGAGGTTCTTATTGTTGTTAAGTACCATGGAGTTGGTTCCTACTCATAGTGCCCCATATAGGGTTTATGAGGAGTGGCTGATGTGTTTGAACCACCAACCCAGTGGTTCAAACTGACATAAGAACCAGAGGTTCTTATGTTTTTGGTAAGTGCCATTGAGTCAGTTCTGACTCACAGTGACCCTGTATAGAGTTTCTGAGGTGCAGTTGGTGAGCGTGAACCACCAACATTACAATTTAAGCCAACTCTGCAGTTCAGCACATTATTTGGCAACACCACAACAGGACGCCAGGTTCTTATGTTGTTGTTATGTGCCATGTAGTCGGTTCTGACCCATAGCGACCCTGTACAGGGTTTCTGAGACTGTAAATCTTTATGGGAGCAGAAAGCCTCATCTTTCTCCTGTGGAACAGCTGGGAGTTTCGAACTGCTGACCTTGAAGTTAGCAGCCCGCCTGGTAACCACTATGCTACCAGAGCTCCTTAGGTTCTTTTAGGTAGGATAAAATTTTAATTATGTCCTAGTTTGGCATTCATAACTTACTTATATATAACTTGATATAGCTATGAAATAGATAGGATAGATACTGCAAGGCATAGTGGATAGTAGGGTATGTGTCCTTCTGTATACTGATGAGATGGTTTATTAACACAATCCAGGATTTCCCTTAGTAGTTGCTGAACCTTTTGGCTACTTACTGTCAGAATAGTTTAATGTAAACTGTGCTACTTAAAAAAAAAAGAAAAAAAACTTGACGGACATTCTCAGTATTTAAATGAACAATACTAAGTAGCTCCATACAATAGGTCTACTCATTCAGGTATTTGAATGCGTATTTTGTAATTAACTTAGATGGGTGGGTTCCTTAGGATACAATTAAAAAAAAAAAAATAATCAGACATTCACCAAAGACTGAACTGCTTTTAAGGTTAAGACAGCCAATTGGTAATTTTTAGAGAGCTGAGCCCTCTAGGAACCACTCCAGTTTAGAAAGGGATCCTAATCCGTCCTCCCAACCTGCCTGAGATTTTAACCCATTGTTGTCCATTTGATTCCAACTCACTGTGACCCTGAGGGACAACACTGAACTGCTAATAGCGCTTTCAAGGTTGTAATCTTTATGGGTATAGACTGCTGTGCCTTTTTTTCACAGAGGAGTGTGGATTCAAACCACTGATCTTTCCTTTAGTAGCTAAACATCTATACCACCAGGGAAGCTATCTGCTGGCAAGAATTGGAAAATATAGAAGAAAAAGTAGCCTTGTATAGGTGGGAGTGTAGTGGAGATCTTACAGGAGGCTGAGGCGATGACACAGAAACAATAGATAAGCTCAGTAAGTACATTAAATGAACAGAGGATTCAGTGCCTGGTTGTGTTGCGTGAGATAGTAGAACAAGGAGAAACCATCACAGTAGTGCGCATAGAAGAGAATGGACAAAGAGTGGTGTCCATCATTAATTAGCTGGTGCTGCTGTAACAGAAATACCACATGTAGACAGTTTTAACAAGCAGAAATTTATTCTCTCACAGTATAAGAGGCTAGAAATCCAAATTCAGGGTGCCAAACTTAGGGAAGACTTTCTCTCTTTGTTGGCTTTTGGGGAAGGTTCTTGTCATCGGCTTCAGCTGGGTCTAAGAGTTTCTCTGTACAGGGACCCTGAGTCCACAGGACTATGCTTCTGAATCTTCTTCCTTGGTAGTAGGAGGTTTCTGACACTTTGCTCACTTCTTTCTTTTTTATTTCTTAAAAGAATCAGACCACACCCCCAGGAACTTCCCTTACATGTGACATGAGTGAGGCTGTTGCATCCTATCCTAATCCCTTTATAACTGATGGGCCGTTCATGTCAGATCACATCATGGGAGATAATTACGTCATTGCATAACTGCCAAACTACCCAGAATCATGGCCCAGCCAAGTTGCCACATACAAATACCATTATCTTTCAATCCGTTTTTTTAAAATGAACTTTTTGAAGCCTTCTTGTATTTGTTGTTGTTGTTAAGTGCTGTAGAGTCAGGTCCAACTCAAAACAACCTTGTGTAAGGGTTTCTGAGGAGCGTCTGGTAGGTTTGAACGCCCGACCTTGTGTTTCAAACAGACTTTGCCATCCAATGCTTATTCTATAGCACCACACCAGGACTCCCTTGTATTTGGCGGGACATAATTCAATCCATGATGTGAGGTACATGGGCAGGAACTGGTCCTGGATCTCCTCACCACAGCTCTCCAAATACAATTAGATAATTCAGTTATGAAATTCTAGCAAACCACCTACCAAAGCATGACTGAAACTTCTGATAAGTTAAACAGATTGTCCAATGATCAAGTTAACACTGTAGAAATATTTACATTTTATTGGAAAACTGCATCATGTATACTAAAGGTGAGGAACATTTTTTTCTGACAAAGGCCATCAGGGTATTTATAACATCATTTGAAGGCCATACAAAATTATCAACTTAAAAGTTAGCCTGCTATGTTTGGTTAAACATTTAATTAACTTACCCCTAATGTGATGGCTAGAACTGTGGTTTCCTTGGCAGGGCCATACCAAATGATATCATGGATCTTAAAAGGCCCTAGGGCCAGATGTGCCCTACCACTGGTCTATGCCATACTTTTCTAGGTTATAAGATTCTAGCCCTGCTTATTGTCTTTAAGCTATTTTGCAACTCTTTCTAAGTTGTTTGTTGTTGTTGTCAGGTGCCATCGAGTCGGAACCGACTCATAGCAACCCCATGCACAGCAGAACGAAACAATGTCCGATCCTGTCTGTCTGTCTGTTGTGCTGTGGTTCTAAGTTGTAGAAAATTGGTGTACATATTATGCCCTGTCTACCTAGAAGCTGTTTCTCAGAAATGAGTTGAAAGCAACTTTACAGCACTTAATCACAACAGGCACTAGTGAGCTGAAATGGACTGATATTAGCCATTTTGAATCTGACAATTACATGGTTAACTATGCCAGGAATGACAGATTGAAGAGGAATGGCTTCACATTCATCATCAAAGGGAACATATTAAGAGCTGTCTTGAAGTACAATGCTGTCTGTGATAGGATAATATCTAGACAGTTAAAAGGAATGCAAGTTAATACCACTATTATTCAAATGTGCCCTCCAACCACAAAAGCCAGTGATGACGACATTGAAAAATTCTACCAACTTCTTCAGTCTGAAACTGATAAAACATGCAATCAGGATGAATTGGTAATTACTGGTGATTGGAATGCAAAGCTTGGAAATAAAGACAAAGGGTCAGTAGTTGGAAAATATAGCCTTGGTGATAGAAATGATACTGGAGATCACATGATAGAATTATGCAAGACCAACGACTTCTTAATTGCAAATACCTTTTTTAAACAACATAAAAGATGACTATACATATGGGGCTCACTATATGGAACACACAGAAATTAAATTGACTACATCTGTTGAAAGAGATAATGGAAAAGCTCCTATCATCAGCCAAAACAAGGTCAGGGGCAGACTGTGGAACAGAGCATCAATTGCTCATATGCAACTTTAGGCTGGAGTTGAAGAAAATTAAAACAAGTCCAGAAGAGCCAAAATATGACTTTGAACATAACCCATCTGAATTCAGAGATCATCGAAGAACAGATTTGATGCATTAGACACTAAAACCAAAGACAAGAAGAATTATGGGATGACATTAAGAACATCATGCAGGAAGCAAGGAAAAGGTCACTAAGAAGACAAGAAAGAAAAGTCCAAAATTGATATAGTTATGAAATAGTTGTCAGAGAGACTCTGAAACTTGCTGTCCAGTGTACAAATGCTAAAGCAAATAAAGAAATGAGAAGGTAAAAGAGTTGAGCAGAAAATGACGAAGGTCAGCTCAAGAAGACAAGGTTAAATATTGTAACAAAATGTGCAAAGACCTGGAGTTAGAACTGCAAAAGGGAAGAAAACACTTAGTATTTTCCAAGCTGAGGGAACATAAGAACAAATTTGAGCCTCAAATTGCAATATTGAAGGATTCTCTGGACAAAATATTAAATGATGCAGAAGACATCAAATGAAGATGGAAAGTAGACACAGAGTCACTGTACCAAAAAGAAATGGTTGATGTTCAACCATTTCAAAAGGTAGTATATGATCAAGAGCCAATGAGGGACAGAGGTAGACACTAATGTATGCTCAACTTTGGAACAAAAGGGCTCTCTGACACATGGATCGAGGCATAGTCTGAATGGGTAAAAGAGGGGAAATAATGTTAAGATGCTTGACTGTCTTATGAAAATTGGTTTCCTTGCCTATTATTGTAAAATAGACACTGGAGTGGCACAGAAAGGAATATCAGGACACATGATTACAGAAAGCTTGTAAACCCATCTTTAACCAATAACTGATTGCAATACCTAAAAGAGATTCTAGAACTTGCCCAGTGAAATAGAAATCCTGCAGAGCATTTATAGTGTATAGGACCTTAGGTGGAATCCTGAGCCCCATCCAGAACCTTCTGAAGTGGTACATTCCCACTTGAATGGACAAGCAGACCAGCCTGGAACAGCTAGAGGAACAGAAGATACTTCTTGAAAGAAAGCCCAACAGGAAAAATCCAAAACAAAAATGGCAGTCTGATTGGCTACTACAAGAATAAGCAAGTTGTTTGCTGGGAAGCCATCAAGGCAAGCAGTCAATTCTCTTCAGGACAAACCCCCCTCCAAGACAGGAACTCAAAGGGAATACATCAGCAGACATGTAAGATTGTTGGTTGTTGGGGACCTGCCTCGACATAGGAACTTGGTTCATGAGGTGGGGATATCTGGCGGCTGTAGAAATATAGAGATACACACAGGGACACCAAGAGAGAGACAAAGAGACACCCCGAAACCAGAGTGGATGGGGGACTGGCATCAGGCAGATCCTGCATTGCAAACATCTCAGCCATGAAGGCCGTAATATTCTGCATAGTAAACATCTTGGCTAAACAGGCAGTATAGTTGCAATGCTGGACTGAGCACCGGCATGCTGTAACGCACGCCTTGCCAGTCGTAATGCACCTGGATTGGTTCTGCGCCTCTGTTTTATTTAGGGGAGGAGCTTCACACCAAGCTGGGAGGGACTAAGACAAGGTACAGCTAACATATGTAGTTTTCCCGACATTCAGGCAACTTTATATGGTAATTCGCAGGTTCGAATCCCAGGCCTGCAACTTGGTTTCTCAGGCTCAATTAACATATCTATAGC